AACTAGCGTTAAAAGACGTATGGTGTGGAGTAAAAAAATGAATAAGTATATTTTTTCAAAAATTGACGCACGATAAACTACTAGAAAAAATTTGTATTCTTTACATGTTTTTTTGTTTTTAGGTGCAATTATAACAATGTCCTTCCCAATACTTACTATTGTTTGCAAATTATCTTTATAGTTTACATTTGTAAATGTTTCAGAGTTTTTGTGTTTTCTAACTGTTGATCAGTTGTGGATATTTTTTGTTCATCTTCGTTTTCATCACTATCATCAGGAGCTGGCATTAAATCATATATTGATGGCATTGAAAAGTAATGGGACACGTATGACACCGTGTTCGACTTCGAGAAAGTCGATATATGCTTCGACTTCGGAAAATCTTCGGAAATCAGGCATGTAATTTTATTTTGAAGGGCCATTGTTCTTATTAGATATTGAGAAGCTGTTAACCCCAAGAAGCTTTATCAAACCCATTTGTAATTTATTTTAGTTGACACTGTCCAACACTGTAGAAATAAAATTAAGAGCTACCAAAACATTTACTGGAAAAATTTGACTCCCATTAAGCTCCCTTTTAAACACTCTTTCTGTACTTTGCTCATCACACCACCCTTCTGAATTTGACTCAAGAGGGAAATCTCGTCTGACAAACACAAGGACAGTAAGATAGAATTGAAAGAATGTCAGAAAAGCTTCAAACAACGAATAAACTAGTCTCTCTTTTTTTATATATAAAAAAAAGAAGAAAAAGAAAACTCAGAAAAAGTTGGTGTGTGCTTTATCGAGAAATAATTATTTTGATTTGTTTGAAAAACATATAGAGCAGGATTTTCTTAAAAAGCGTTATGTAAGATCTGGGATAATTTAACATTATCGGTGGTATAGGCAATTTTCATGGACTAGCAGAAAATGACATAGATAGCAGGATAACATACAAAACGGTTAACGTAAAACAAGGGTTTCACTATATACATATATAATTTAATAATAGTGTAAAATTTGTCATAAAAGAGGACTTCTTGTAATACTCTGTACTTGTTATATCAGATTTTTACCGTATGTATATTTATATATATAGTACCGGTCAAAAGTTTAGATTCACTTGTATTTAGAATCAAAACTTTCAAAAATAGTTTATTATTTCTGACTTAAACGTATTATTTATAAAAAATTAATGTCACAAATTTCGCGAAATGCTGTTTCCAGTTAAAACTGTTCATTATTTTTTCATTTTGCATCCATTCTGCAGTTGTTTTAGAAAATGAACGAAAGTGCATGTTAATGCCTATTCTAAGAAAAGTGTAATTTATTTAAAAAATTTCATTAGTTTTTTATTTCTAAACAATTTACTTTTAATCTTTTGTAAAGTTCCTTATAAGTTAATTTGATGTACATAACACATTTAAAATATTGATATAATAGCCTTCATTTGACAGAATAACTAGTACATATTAAAAACAAAAGTAAACATTAATTTATACAATTCATTACAGTATTATGGGTCAAAAACCAAAAATAAGTGTCAAAACACGTGCAGATATTATTGCACTTCATGGAGACAAATTGCCTCTAAAACTAATGTTCCCAGACACTGTTCTCAGAACTTTGCAAAGAAAGAAACTAGGCCAAAATAGGAGTCGCCAATGATCAGGGAGATCTGGAATAATATCCAAACGTGAGAATAAGTTTATCTGCATTTGAAGTAAGCGGTAGCGGATTCAAACAGCATCAGGAATTGAATGCTACTGGTCAGAAAGCTTTGTCAGTAACTATTGTACTACGCCGACTTAGTGACTATGGTTTAAAAAATTGCGTAGCTGCTAGAAAACCTTTTTGAAAAAACAAAACATAGTTAAACGACTGAAATGAGCTAAAAACTTCTTAACTGGTCCTTAGAATAGTAGTCAAAGGTTTCGTTTACTGATGAGTCAAAATTTGAGTTGTTTGGAAGGAAACAAAGGCAGTATGATCCTCGTTTAGTAAGTAAGTGGACGTATGACCAATCCATGTTTACTACCAACTGTGAAGCATGGTGGTGGTTCAGTCATGGTTTGGGGATGTTTGCCAGTGACATAGTTAGAGATCTTGTAAGAATTATGGATAAAAAATATTATCACAGAATATTGCTGTATTAAGCTTTTCCATGTGGGCAGAGAATCGTTGGTTAAGAATTTATTTTTCAGCAAGATAACGATCCAAAACATTCATCGAAATTGTGTAGAAACTTCATTGCATCAAAAGAAAAAAAAGCCATTGAAATATATGGATTGGCCCCCTTAATCCCAAGATATTAATCCTGTTGAGCTATTGTGAGATAAACTCGATAAAAATTTTAGAAAAATGTGATGTACCAATCAAAACAAACTTTGGGAATCTTTACTTAGTTGCTGGAACTAGATCTCAACTAGAACATTGCAAAAACTAACTAAAAGAATTCTAAAAATAAGCACTGCTGTGATTAAGGCTAAAGGAGGATATTTCGAAGAATACAAACCTGGACGAAATTCATAAGTTATGCATAAAATTATAGTTTTTACTGCATTATAAGTGTACTTACAGGGGTCTGTCTAGGTTTTTCTGACAGGTACCTATTTTGTGAAAATTTAGACGTAATTTGTGAAAAATTATATTAAGAAATCAACACAAAAATATGGATTTATCGTTTCTTAAGGGATACAAAAATGAAATTTTAAGAAAAAGTATTTTGTGAAACTACCGTTTTTCCAAAATTGAATTTGTGAAACTACCGTTTTTCCTAAAGTTGAATTTGTGAAGGTACCGCTAAACGGTAGTAAATTCGGCCTGGACAGACCCCTGACTTATAATTATCAAAATAAAGTTACTTTCTTGTGATTTTCAGTTTAAAAATCTTGTTATTTGTTCATTTTTAGAAATTCAAGTGTGAGTCTAAACTTTTGACCGGTGCTGTATATATATATATATATATATATATGAGTTAGTGAAAAAACGAAATTTAGTTCGAAAATGAATCCCTTCACCAGGAATATAATGTTTCGTAAAGGAATTTCTGTCTTAATTGACAATTTCCTAAGATAAAATTGACATGTTAGATTGCATCGTTTACAATTGATATCGTTTTTCATAATCTAATAAAATCATTTTCAATAATTAATCAATTACTTATAAAATAATTTTCGAGGCTGCATTTAGGCAATGGTTTAGTACTTTCAGTTTGCATTATCTAGTAAAGTTTTGTGAGAAAAAAAATTTTTCTTTCTCAATTTGTTAAAGATCTTTCCTTATTTATTGAATCCACATTTTTTTTCCAATTTTTTATGTTAATATTTTGTCATTGTAGTTTAAATCACATTATATCATTGGTGATTAGGTTTATCATTTGCTGCTTAGAGATAGATGGGGAAATAAGCATTTCTATTCATTTTAATTTAACATATTTTTTATTAGATTTCTGTGTTAATATAAATAAGTTTATGTTAGCTTTTTTAATGTTTGAAAAAAGCATTCTGTGTCTTTTAAGAATTTTTAATAAAAATTAACTCTTTTTCTCTTTTACTTAATGGTTTTATATAAATAAAAGGCAATAAAACTAGACCAATTCTAAATTGTCAAGGAACAATATTCCCTTTATCATTCTTTTAGTTTATAAAGAACAAGACGTTGTTTGTGTCATTCTTCAGAGAAATTTAGTCTGTCCTTTAGAGAGGTTTATTATTCAATAATAGACCTCCCCAAAGAACACAATTAAAAAAAATTTCTCCTGGTCTACTGGTTTAATAAAAATTCTCCTGGTTTCTGTACATTTTAGCAAATTTTCTAAAATTGAGTAAGTTTTCTAAAAAAAATTCCTTTTGAAAAAGAAGTTTTACACAATAATATTTAATATTTATATTGAATAATATTGAATATTTAAGTAAGTATTATTGATAGGTGATGAAGTTAGCCTCATTTATAGTTATCAGTTTAAAACTTTTCTTTTCTTTTTTGTTCTAAAATTCAGTTCATTTTTATACAGAATTCCCTTTTTAAAGTAATTAAAATAATCTTTCAGCTATCAATGATAAGTTACTTGTCTATTACTATTCAAAATTATGAGTTATCATGATAAAAAAAAAATTCTTATTGAAGTTCAGGTAATATCAAACATAATAGAAAAATATTACAGACTATTCTCATACTTATTAGTGTAATAAAGTTTTTGTATTTTGATGGTAATAAAAATAAATAAAATTCCCTACATTTAAAATATTTAGTTTATTTAAAAATATATAAAATAATTAGTATATTATATGTAGCCAGGACGTGATCTAGAAGTACAGTGGCCTTGGCACAGAACTGTCGCAGGCACCCTGATTGTCACTTTTAATCAAATTCACATCTTTAATTGTGAAGTGTTTTTAAATTATATATGACATAAGTAAACTACAATATATTCATAATTTCAGCTTATATTTATTTCATTTTTTGTTAACTTGTAATTCTAATAGACTATTCTTAAGGAAACACGCTCACACAAAATTATTTGTAACGTTTAGGGGGACCTAAATGTCAGGGAATAGGCCTTATGATCAATCAGGCACTATATGCAATATTTATGATGAAATTTATATTCCATAAATTCTACCAGATTTTTTTTCCTATCCGTGCTGGCAGCTATGTTGTGTTCTTCAGACAATTTTCAATTGACCGAACTTTTTGTGTTTGCTTTNTTTTTTTTTTTTTTTTTTGCTGAATATTAAATGTAAAATCATAGGTAATAAAAATGAAGTAAACCTGTAAAAGAATAAATGAAAAAGACTTGTTTCATTCATATTATCTAATACAACTATGCATATAACTGTATGCTAGAATGTACTACACTCATATGCATATTTGTATATGATAACATATGATTAGGATCTGAAATTTGGGTAAAAGTACTGGAGATGAAAATAATGAAGTATTTTGTTTTTAATAATTTCATATTTTTTCTAATTTTAAATAAATTAGATTTATAATGTTTTTTTAAATTTTTATAGAACTTTTGGTGGCATGGCTAAAGATGCAGATTGGAAAAAAGAGTTTGAAACCTTAAAATCAAAAATCGAGAACCCAGATGATGTGGATTTGTCGGAATATCATCGAGCAGGCTATGATCCTCCCTTTAAACCTTTCAATCGAAGAAACGAGGTTTGGATTGTGAAAAAAACTTCCAGCGTTGTGGATCCTCAAACTCCAACTGACTAGATTCCCATTTTAAGGCACCTTTTTAAAGCTTGAGGGATAGAGTTTTCAAGTTTGATTCATGCAAATACGATGTCTAACAGTAGATGTTTAACATTGTTGCATGTGCATTATTTGCTGCACATATTCCAGTCAACGTCTGTTTCATTCATATTATCATATACAATTATGCATATAAGTGTATACTTTTAACTATGCCAAATATTTTTCTTTTTGTATTTTTTGATAAGTGTTTTCTATGGCTGCTTCTTTTAATATTTTTAATATTATTACATGCTGTATGCATATAAAATGTGATGACTCTTGATATCGAATATATCATATCTTTTTTTTTTAACGATGTATCAGTTTCATTGGCTAAGACATGATTATGATTGTTATATTTTCATGACTAATCATTTACAAACAGTATCTTCGCTAATATACTTAAATATTTACTGTGAGATTTTAATATTTCTATGTGGATATATTGACAGTCAGTCTTCTGAAAACTTGTATTGGCTGCTTTTTGATCAAACAGTGATGTTAACTCATAGATTGTTGTGATAAATGTTGGTAGTGTTTGTGAATTAAAGCCTTTATACATGTAGTTTTTCTTGTTAATTGAAATTAACAGTTGTTAACTCGTAGGAAATGTAAGCAAGTATTTTTAATGTTTCCTGTTATATTCATCTAGAATATTTATCTGCATTTTTACCATGGGTACTTCATTAGATTTGAAGTTCTCAACATTAAATTAGTTTGTTAAAAACAAAAAAGAGATTGAATTTAAGGAAAGGTTACATTTTATTTTAAAGGTTAAATAAATAAAATTTAAAAAAAAAAGATTGGTTAAAACGGATAAAAAAGTGACGTAAAATTCTGCAACGAAATATAGGTCACAATTATTATACATCAATCTTTATCTAGATATGCTAAATTTTATCTATTAAATTATTTTAATTGATATATTCTAAATTATGTTTACATAGTTGTTTTAAAGTGAACATCTAAATTAAGTTTATACAATTATTTTAAAAATATTATTTTAAATTGAGTTTATACAGTTCTTCTCAATGGACAATTCAAAATTATGTCTATACAATTGTTCTAAATGGATTATTTTAAAGTATGGTTATAAAATCATTCTAAATGGATTATTCTAAATTATGCTTATACAGTTATTCCAAGCAGACTATTAAATTTGAAAATAATTTCTAAATTATGTTTATATAATTATTCTAAATGGACTACTCTAGATTTTATTTATGTAATTATTTTGAATGGAACATTCTAAATTATATTTTGTCCTGTTTCCGAAATAAACTTTATCCCAGTTACTCTAAATAGATTATTGTAGATTATGTGTGTCAAATTATCTTTATGAATAATTTTTGTCCAAATATATAAATTCGAATTAATCTATGTATTGGATGATGAGAAATTATATATTTGGATAAATTATGCTATAATTAATTTTTGATAATTACTATAAATTAATCCTCATCAACTTAGTATAAATTATGTTTATTCATATTTTATATCTTATATTTATTCCATATTTTTTATATGTATTAATATTTTCATGTAATTTTTTTAGTTATTTTTTATTCCTAAATATATTATACTTATCTTATCAAGTAAACATGGTATGAATGTGAGACATGGAATATGTGTGTTTTGTGTAAAATGTAGATGCTACATATTTACTTAAACCCTTCAATATTTTATAAATGTGTTTCCTCGATGTTTATCTAGCTCCATGTGTGTGTATTTTCATGGAGCCATACAAATGTGCTTATTAATTATACACTGCCACAAGATAGATATATTACATCCTATAATTTTCAGCCTGAGTGATACTTAAATAAATTTGCTTTGATTCATTTATCTCTAATTATTTGTAAGTAAAATTTAAATTTTTTTAAAAAATTTTCTTGAAATATGTTGTGTTATTGCTTTGAAAATGTCATAGTGTTAATTCATGCTTTATATTATTGTTATGACATAACATAAAAACAATTCTAACTGAATTCTATCAAAAATAGTTTTAAGCTTTTTTAAAGTCTAATTTGTTATCGCTCTCTTTCTGAAAATAATAGTACATTTTGTATCTTTCTTAAGGTAAACAAATATTGTTTTCTTTTTTTAAAAATAATTTGATGTGTTTATTTTGTTAGCTTTACCGCCTTCTGTGGTACATCAATAACATTTAAGATATCAATATTGAAAAAAAAATTAGTAAAAAAATGTGCAATATTTTGTACAGAAATATTAATTTCTATAAAAATTTTATTTGATTTTAAAATTGCTCATTATCATTAATTACTATATTTAAGTTTTGTTTATAATTTTTTAATTGTTATGTTATGTGTAATATGTTTTAATTTTTTTTTATTTAAAAAATTGATTTATTTTTTATGCTTCATTTTATGTACATATTCATATTATGTATATATATTTTTAGTTTTATATATTTTGTATTTTTGTTTATGCTCAAAACAATGCACATTTTTATAGATCAATTTATGTGATTAAAATTTCAAAACAACCATCTTTGGAGCTTAATGTATTAAAATAATTTTAATATATTTACATTCAATGTTAAAGAAAAGTATTCTATTTTTGTTGACATTTATAATTTAGATAATTCACTAGAAGGAAATGCTTTGTATGTGATTGATAAGTGGAATGTGAATTAAACTTGATATTTAATAGCGTCATGTTAGGCTCCTTAACCCACAATGTGTAATTTTTTTTTCTTCAAAAGTTTGTTAATTTATTTTAATCTTTTTTAAAGATTTGTAAATGTATTAGTAATATTTCAACAATGTTGGTTTTATATCAATTAGTCAATCTGAATTTAAAGTTATTTGATAAATACTTGTTAGAAGTTAGTAGGATTGACGCATAAAGTTTTTATATTGAAATAAGTTGTTTTAATCCTGAATTTTCTAGTCAATTTGTTTTTCAAACTTTACTTTTTATAAAATTTTTATTTATAAATTTAGAAATTTATAGGATGAATTTAATCACTGTTACATTACATTCTATTATCTTAATTCTTGTGCCAGAATGTAACTAAAATTAGATAATAAAATAAGGTTTGAATGGATTTGTGCTTCATGTTTGAATTCATTTTTCGAATAATGGCAGATAAAATTATTGGTGTCCAAATGTAATTTCAATTTCTAATGCAGAGTTCTCAAACCTGGATCCTGCGGAATCCTAAGGTTCCTTGGAAATTTGTTAGGGGTTACGCAAGTAACCACTATTTGCTTAATCATAGCTCCAAAATTTTAGTAAAATTTTAATTTTTATAAAAGAATGAAATCTTAAAGGCAGTTAGCTTGTAAAAATAAATATTTTATAAATAAAATCTTAAATTTCGTAAAAGTTACTTTCATAATTTATTGTGTTGAAGTGTGTGAATCTTGCATGAAACATTACAGTTGCTCTGCAAGTCTGTTGGTTATCTCATAGAAAAGTGTTAAAGGATTATGTTAAGATTTGCAAGATTATGCAAATGAATGCTGTTTTTCGAAGCTTTGTAGTAATAGTAAAAAAAAAGCCATAGTTTAAGCGCCTTGCACTTAAAGCAATGCTATGATTTGAAACTATATATATCATTTTGCCGTAAAGAATTATCTGGGCTTTAGAACTACAAATAACCTAAATATTTTGTTATAAGTAATTAAACTTTTTTAAAAATTTTCAAAATGACTGCCTTATTCTCAGTTTTTGCAAATTTTTATGAGCCCAGCCAATGCAACATTGGAGTAAGTTTTTAAGTATTAAAAAAATTAGACCAAAAATGCTTTATTTTCACAAAATTGTGGCTTTTCTCCATATTGGTGTTTTATGCCTTTTTCAAAATAAGCGTGGACATTCCTTGCTTTAGATAGGCTGAGATTGGCATAACAGTCATAAGTAACAGTTGCAAACTCACAGTTGCAGTAAATATTAGCTTGGGCCAACATTTTACAGATCTACAAAAACATTTCTTGAATATTTTCCTGTTAAAAAAAAACAAACAATTATTTTAGATTCAAATTTTTTTTCAGGATATTATCACCTCTGAACTCTCAATTAAAGTGATTAGCAAATTGACATATCGACTAACACCTAATTGAAAATAAAATATGATGGGGTGATATAACATTATATAGTTCACATGAAATTGTGAACTAAATAATGTCATTAGTTTCAACTTATGCATATGAAAAGTCTTTCTCTTTATATGTAGAAGCAGATTGGATTCTCGGGGGGTGCCAATAGGTAGCAGTTTTCAACAATTATTTCAGATGTAAAAATACTTTGTAATAAAAAAAAAAGCTTAGCTAAGTCAAAAAAAATTTCCTTATTAATTTGTTAAAATATTACTGTTTTTGGTTATTAATTATAGAATATATGTAAGAAAGCAAAAAGAAGAAAAAGAAAGCAGCTATCTTACCATTTATTATCCTATTATGATAAAGTAAAAGAATAAAGATGCAATAATTATTTTGTAAATTTGAGTTAATGAAATTTTTTTTAACCTTTTCAATTTTTTTAAAAAAAAAACTTAATTTTTTAAATTTAACTAACATTTTCCGTAAATTTGTGACCTCAGAGACACTTTTAATGAATTGGAATTTTAAATATGATTTAACTATTCGAGATTTGTGTGTGCACCCAGATTAATTTGGAATAAAAAAACGAATTAAATTCATATTTCTTTAAAATTCTGTTCATTCATTTCTAATTTTAAAAAAATTAAAACTTTAGGTTCTTGCAAAAGAAAATGTTTTTTTGCAGATAGTTAAAAATAAATTCATAATTAAAAATCTAGCCTTGAAAAAACTTCATGAGAAGGCCAGGACCCACTCTGATCTGTCCAGCCAGGGAAGAGAAAAATAATAAAGCCGCCCCCTGTTCGCTATCTTCACCAACCTCATGATTTCTTTTCATTTGCCATTGAGGATCAAGGGGAAAGAACGGTTCATGTCTACTTTTTACAAAAATTACGATTGTATTGATGGCAAATCAATGACACGTAAAATCGCATCCTCCTCGAAAGTTATTACTCAGTGAAGATGGGCCGTGCTGTGGAAAAACAGTTCCTGTTCGTTTTACGAACTCAAATTCATCCCCCCCCTCAAAATCATGTACTAATTTTTACTTACTAGTTTTTTATTATTATCAGGGTGCGCAACGTTTTTAAAAAGTGCTTAAAGAGGCTTATTTTCGATTTTGGTTTTTTAAAAGCCCTAAAGGTGCTTTTTCCATTTGATGTTTTTAAAAAGTGCTCAATTTTCTCTTTTCCAAAATGAGATTTTTCCTTTACCATGTTGATTTTCGCTTCGAATTATGCAGAAAGACATAGTTCTATTCAACGTTTTAACAATTCCAACCCCAATCTATTTCGGCGTATCGTCAGTCAGTAGCGTATTAAAACGCCATTCGTTTTACATGATTCAAAAATTTTGACATTGTCAAAAACATGCCGAAAGTTCTTTTTTTTTCTTTTTTTTTCTGACATGTCGGATAAAACAGTCAATTGTCAAAAACTTTCCAATCCTACCTGATTGTGATTTTTTTTAAAAGTGCTTAAAAATATTATTTGAGTGCTTAAAAGATGCTTATTTTTTGTTGAATAATTTGGCTACGCATCCTGTTATTTTTTTGTAGTTACTTTTGATATCATGTTAAGAGCGAGCTTTTAAAATGAAAATTGCGAGAGAGATAAGTCTTCTTGTATAAATATTTAAATAATTATTATTTAAAGAAAAACAAATATGTATTGCGAAAAGAAAAACGCTTAAAATTACGATAACTTTCAAACAAACAGGAATTGGAAGAAAAAAAATCTCTTGTGTAATTTAATTTATA